GTTGCCATGGTTTACTCCATTCCTGTGGTTCAGGTGACAGGTAGGAAGCTGTGGGGATGCAGGCACATCGGTCTCGCAGCAGATGTGAGATAATGTGGGCCGGTTCAGGCATCTTGGGAGTCTTCAGCAACGCCTTGCATCTGCAGCTGAAATGCGTCAGGTCACTAAGCTGGAGAAACCCAGTCAAAGATCTGAGCTCCTGTTACTTCCCCCACAAATTAGCCCTTATTTACAACGCCTTGTGTCTGCAGCTGGAGTGGTGCAGCTGAAACGCGTCAGCTCACTAAGCTGGAGCAACCCAGTCAAAGATCTGAGCTCCTGTTACTTCCCCCACAAATTAGCCCTTATTTACTGATGAAGATATCTCCTGTGTGAGGTTGGTAGGCTGCTGTGCAGGGGATGTTTTGTGTGACCTGTCAGAAGGCTTGTTGGAGAAGCGTTACATTGGTAACGCTGTGGTTGTTGGCTTGGCTTGTTCCTGGATTACCACCTTAGGCCAAGTGGCTGAAGCTCTGGGGAGGATTTCTCCTCCCTGGAGCTGTGCTCTGACTTGTTGTACGTTGCTCTCAGGCCAGTCAAAAGAAGATGATGATCCAGAAGGGTCTGCTGGACAAGCATGGAAAGCCCAACGAGAGCACACCGGATTCCTGGAAGAAGGAGTATGTGGATTACAGGTGGGTACAGGGGGTGTGGCTCCAGCACGGTGGGCAAAGGGGGAGCCTCAGGCACAGAGGACTGGGCTGGGTGCTGCCGTTTGTGCTTAGAGCACGTTAAGCCTCGCCCAGGGCTGTTGTCTGGACCCCCAGGGGACGGTGGCATTTCTTACAGTGCTAGTGGGCAGTGCCAGAGGGAAAGGCCCTGAGCAGACAGTTATCCCTTTCTAGCCTGCACTTGTGGTTTTAGAGGGAGTCAGTCTGCTAAATTAAAGGGGGGAGGCCTTGCTGTTGCCCAGCCCAGCTGGCCCTGGTGCAGGCTGCAGGCCTTCCCCCACACCAGCCTTCCCCCCTCTGTGCCTGGTGTGGGGTAAGGAGCCCCTGCGAGGGTGACAGTGCTTGTGTGAGGGCTGTCCTGCTCAGCTGGGGAATCTTCTCTTTCAGGGATGCTTCCAAGAAAGAGGCAGCTGCTGTTTCAGACATGGAGAGGGCTCCAAAAGTGAGTATCGTCATGCTCTCTGCCTGTGAGGCCAGTTAATTCCCCCAGCACTTGGGCTCAGGCGCTGGAACATGTACTGCTTCAGTTGGTTGTTTTACAGGGGAGGGTGTTCCCGTGTTCTGGGAGCGTAGTGCCCCACGTGTGCTGCAGTAGCAGAGCCTGTGGGCCAGCTGTAGGGTAATCTCTTCAGAGCCTTACCCTGGCTGTTTCTGGGGTGTTGTACTTTGGGTATGAAAAACACAGGGTGCCACTCTGGCAGAAGCAAATTCCAGGCAGTGTGTGTGTGGGGGTAGCAGGGGCAGTCTGTAGCTCACCCTTCCGCTCCAGCATTGTTAAGTGAGGTTTGATTGAATCGGGCAAAATGGTTGCGATGGGCTTGCAGACAGTTCTCCTGTCGCTTGAGCTCCTCTGGTGGGTCTGACGACGTGTTCCCCGAACAGAGGAAGCGAGAGTCGGAGAGTGAAAGTGAGGAGGCTGTGAGCCCACCGTCCCCTGCCACCCCACCGCCCGAGGAGCTGAGCAGAAAGGAAAAGAAGAAGAAGAAGAAAGAGAAGAAGGCCAAAGAGGCGGCTGAGAGCGGGGGAGAGCAGATAGAAGTGGTACGTAACTCTGCAGGCATGGGAGAGATCCTGCTGTCTCTCACTAATACCTCTGGGATAAACACACCGGAGCATCCTGCTGCGCGTGTTGCCGGAGCAGCAGCTCTCCGCAGGCAGCCGAAGATGTCTGTGTAGGTGCATTTGTAAACTGAAGTGGTTGAGGGTGGTGGGAGATGGGGCTGGTGAGGCTTGTGGGGGTGGATCCGCGGTGGGGCAGGGACGGGGTGAGCAGCAGCAGTGGGTACAGAGTCCTGTCGGGCGCCTCTGCCCTGCGACGGGGCCCAGTGGGAGGGTGGTGCCTGGTGCTGGGCTTCAGGCAGCGTGCTCACGTGCTCGTGAGGGAGGATTGCGGTCACGGGAAGCCCGCGCTGTGCCTGGCGTGGGGCTGTTCCTCCTGAAACAGAACAGTGGGGGTTTCCTTTTTGATTCCTGACTTCAACTTCTTCACAGACCAGTGAGACCTGCACCAAGAAGAAGAAGAAGAAGAAACAAAAGGAGGTAGAAGAGAGCTCGGAATAAGGGACTGGATCTCTCCGAAGCAGGCGACCTTCTCAGTAGGGAGGGAGGAGTCTGAGGCCTTGAGAAAAAAGACTGGCTGCATGGCAGGGGGGCCAGCAAATTCCAAGTTCCCTCTCTGCTGCATAGACGAGTGAGCGGGTGTGTTTGCCTGGGAAAGGCCCCGCTCAGGTGCCCCTCCTCATCCTGTTTTAAGGGTTACCAGAGGAGCGGGGTGTCGGACTGCCCCTGCACTGGAGTGCTCTACACCAGCAGCAGTGGTATCTTCAGGGGAGCTGCAGCTCCTGGCTCTTCCTTGGTGTCTCCGTTTTTACCTTGCAAGGGAGGAGTAACGTTTCTCCCCGCCCTCCTGCCTCTTTCTTCCTTTTCTTCCAAGGTTGGAACTGTTACCTGGCAGTCACAAGTGTGTTGGCTTGGCCACGACCCATCTGGGCTTGGATGGGAACAGTCAAATCGGTTATTTGAAGGGCTCTGGCTCTCTAACTTGACCCTCGGCTAGAGGAGATCAAACAGTCCTCCCAGATACTCCTCAGTCCTTTTTGAACTTGATCATAAATGATTTGGAACATTAAATTCCTGCTTTTTGCTTTATAGTGCGGGGACCTGCTTGTTAGTTGTCAGCCAACTCCCCGGCGCGCTGACCTTGTCAGCGTGCACCTCTTGCTCTTCGCACTCCTCTACCCGGTCGGAACGGGAGTGCAGCGCTTTCCGTTGCCTTCCCTGGTTTTGCTTCCAGTAAGCCCCGAGGGCTGGAAGCGGAGCTGCTGCGAGGGGCAGAAGTGATGCTTTTGGGAGCGGAGTCGTCTGGAGGAAAAGCTTGGGCAGAGGCAGCTCTGCAGGGGGCACTGGGTGCAGGGCTTGAGCCGTTGCAGAAAGGCTTGTCCCAGTTATCAAGGTGGGGGGGCTCCTGGGGCTGAGAGGTCTCTCCTCTAGCACAGGGGTAACGCTGAGCCAGGATCTGAGCCCCTTTTAGTGGGGAAGGATCCAGGCTGCTTTGTTCTGAACTTCATCCCTGTCTTGGCCTCGTGTGTTGCTTTTACCTTAGCCGCCTGGCTCCTCCCCAGGGATGGAGATCTGGGAGCGGGGGCAGCAGCCGGTGGCTGTCACATCCTGAGCAGAGCGAAGGCCGGTTTTACTTCTTTTTTTTTTTTTTTTTTTATAAAAAAAAAAAAAAACCTTTTTTT